ACATGGCACGTGGAACTAGAGCAGTTTACCCCAGTGAGCGAATTAAAGGGTTCAGTTCGACATTCCAACCACCTGAAGAAGACCGGAGCGTACAATGGCCGAAACGTTGTAATAAATATGGCGACAAAGATGAGGACAATAGTCCGAATAATTTAAGTAGTGTACATAATACCTCATCTCAGAAATATAGACAAATACTTAAAAACAAACATGTAACTGGAAGAGAAAATGACATAAACAAGATGTTGACATTCCGCACCACTTAAAAGGTTAGGAAGGAAACTCTTCGTCAATACTGGTAAGAGCGATAACAGCTACTGGACTTTAGAAATCTATTTTGCTGAAAAACTGTTCTGAAAACTGAAAGATTTCTGGGATGACGAGTTATAATTATTTACATGCGAACTATTTTCCCCCATTTGCATTTAATCAGTGAATTAAAACTATAGTTCTTGAACTTGGTCACATAGTAATTGTGAACAGGGCCTGTCAGTACGGACTCTGTGGAAACTGGGCAAGCAATAACTGGGCAGTACTAAGTAGACGAGATAAGTGAATCGAGAACAATCAACCTCACGTAGACTAAATAAATAGTTCAGTTCGGAAATTACCCAAAAGCTACCTGGATTGTGATAACAAATATGGGGGAAAAATAATGTTAAAAAAAAATTGTACTCCCAAGAATACATTCGATTAAGTAAAGAAATTCAATTTACGAACTGTTCGCTACAAATAAGTATCGTTTGTTTGATTGCAATGTGAAAAGCGCATGTATTTGTTTATAAGGAAATATGATTTCTAAGAGTTAAATATAGGTTTTAGTCCTATTTACTAATAAAGCAACGTTTATATGCAGGAAGTACAATTTCCAGCGAAACAATTGTTCCATGAATACCTGTTCCGACTAATGAGTACTTGCAGCCGTTTTATTTTCATATTTCCTGAAAATTCCATAAACCTCTTCCTGATATCTCAGCGGCATGTTTATTTCTTAAGTTACACACAAGTAGAGAAACGGTAAGATTTTTTTCTTTATGGACACCCTGTATATACAGTGTGTCCATAAAGTTCGTGCACTTTTAAAAATTTATAACTTTATTTGTATTTGCTATAGAAATAATCTGTAAGAAATGTTATAAAGTTTAATGTACCTAGTTTTAAGTATAGCTAAAATAACTAATGTGATTTCGGGCATTACTGTAAATCAGTTGGCAAATGTTTTCCGTGAACTACAAAATCGTATTACCCTTTGTATTGCTAATGATGGAGGGCATGTGGAAACTTAAATAAAATTTCAATAAAACTATAAAAAATATAGATTTACTTCTTTCTAATCCTTTTATAAATTATTTCTGTCGCAAATACAAGAAAAGTTATAAATTTTTTAAAGTACACACGAACTTTATGGACACCCTGTATTATCACATGACAAATCAGAATCATGATCTAACATTGGGATTCACAAAGTAGGCGGAACCTCCCTCACCCCTGGAACGGTGAGGAAAAAGGCAGCGGTAAGATGACATTAGAACTAAGTAATTAAAAAAACAAACAAAAAAAACATGAAATCAGTATGGCAAATCTAAAGCATTAACATCTTCTTCCCAAGTGTCACTGTTTTGTGTAGCAGACTCCTGAAATGATTCTTCACCGATCATTAAAACCTTAACTTCAAGTCTAAGAGGAGTAGTTATCTATCCTACTTTAATTCATAATCTTCACTTACCTCCTCCTCCTCCTCCTTACGATCATAAAACAACATCATAAATTTAACCCCCATCTTGAGTGACTCATGGTCCTTGGATTGGCGGAACAATTGAGTAGAATAAAACCTTAAACATAAGGAGCTCGAATATTTTACTAAGAAAGCATTAAGATATACAACATATGGTTTTGTTTTATGTTGTTGTCGAAAGTTTCACTTACCTGAAACGCGTCCTGGGTAAAACTACACCCACCAGTAAGGTTTTGAGGAGTGTGGAACCGCCTCTTAATTGCTGGTGTTCCCAGGTCCACCCTGACCCGGGATGTTAGCACCTATTAGGATGCCAGCTATGGGCATATAGTTGACCACCAAACTGGGGCCAAAGAACTATGAAAGTGTAAAAATAGGTTTTAATACAATCAATAAATTTTTGTAAAAAATTATTACCAGCAATGATTTTTTGAAGAAAATATTACCGGCAATACGTTTTGTGGAAAAATATTAGCAATACATTTCTGAAAAAATATTATCAACAAGTCTTGTCGGAATTAAATAACCCATTGAGGTAGATATGCCGTAAAACAAACCAAACCTAACCAAAACTTACCTGAAACGTCATCTTCTGTCAGTGATAAATTTTCTTGATTTGCAGAGGAAATTATTATTATTATTAGAAATACCCGTGAAAATTTGAATTCTCTGACGAATCTTAATTCTTCAATGAATGACTGAATAAGCTCATGGCGAGTTCTACGACAATAAAAATTATCTGTAGAATTTCCTATGTCGCATCATTAATTATATAAACTTAACGACTTTGAAAAATATTGCAATAACAATCCTAAATATAAATGTTGGTTGTTATTTAAAGAATTAAGTTGGTAAAAATGAAAAGATTTTAAATTCATAACTTTCACTGAAAAACACGTTAAACGCACAAGTGTTATCGCCTCTTTTATCTTCCCCTCTTCCTTTCATTTTCTCACTGAAATCAAGTCTCATCTCTGATACGTCTTTTCCATATTTCCACTTGCTCGAAACGGAATAGTCTATTATTTATGGGGTATTGGCAGAGCGTAAAGTATATACATGCTAACTAAGGATGTAAAGGAGAAACAAACAGAATTATAAAAATAATTATTGCTTTTTATTGGGTACTGTTTGACTTAGATGAGACATTTTGCTCCTAGACGTAAGAGGCGGAAAAATCCATTCTAATTTATATATAATTTATTAAATTCAATGTTTAAGAAAAATAAGGCTGGCAGTCGAGACTCGTGACCCATTGTTTCCTAGAGTAGATATCCTAACGGACGCCCAACTCTCTCCAGGCTGGTTTCGAATTCAGTTTTTCCTGTTCCTGGATCGATTGCTACCCAAGATTATAGGAGCCTTGCCTGTCTTGCTATTTACTCATAGCTAGTGGGCAGAGTATTAACACGTAATCGAATATGATGATTACTGGAATTCAAACTCGGATCTCAGATTCCGCTATCCATTACTTTACCACCACGCCTCTTTTCTTATATATATATATATATATATATATATATATATATATATATATATATATATATATATATGTGTGTGTGTGTTTAACATCATATCAACACCTTATGTGGAATTTAATGTCGAAATTTAAGTTTCTTGATATGTTATTCTGCTTTCACAATTGAATACATGGTAGACAATGCTCAGCTTTTATGCATATATATGTTAGTGTGGATATAATTACTAGAGGCTGCGATATGTGTGTTTTGTGTTGTAGTTTTATTGCAGTTATATTTTGAAATATAATTTGATCTCTTTAGGAAATTTTAAGATGTTATATGAGCTAATCTCATGAAAGAGTTCTTTCATGTTGGTTGTTTCATTTTATTTATTGACATAGCAACCTCTGTTATTTAATGCCGAAATCTAAATATATTGTATGTAATTTTATGCTTTCAACTACAGATAGAGGGGAAATGGCGATTCTTTGGATTTCCCAAATTGAAGACTCCGAGTCGGAGTTTCTTTCTATATCTGGTAATGATTTATTTCCAAAGGAAAACTGCGCCATGGAACAGCTCGGTTTGGCTGTTATAAACAAACTGAATGACTAGCCACTCTCGTCGTTGTATAAAGTGACGTCACTAAGCGAACGTCACGTGAGTCGTGTGACCCATCACCACTAAAAGAAGATAATCCCTTTGTGTATCACTACATCATTATTACTACAAAAGTAAAGAATTATCCGCACTTTCACCATGACATATCTTTAGGCTTGTCACACTATCTTCTGTTCAAACGTGCTTATAGTTGGTACTATTGTGGTCACGAGATTGAAGTTTTGAGCTTGATTGAGCGAGTTTTCTTGTCGCTGTTACAGTATAAACATGGCCGCCACGTTAAGAGTTTGCCTCAATTAAGAATAAGGGCCATGAACCGATTTCTTTGTTCGAAAGTTTTGAAGTTTTCATCAGAAGCTTTGAACACAATATGTCGACAGTGCACTACCACGTAAAAGTTTGTATGATCGCATCAAGAAGTCTAAAAGTAGCCGGAAATTCATCAGACACGAAGTAGCACAAGGTCCGTCAATCTCCATCACTGATGAGAAGATTCAGGAAGCTTGAGAAATAGTAATGGCGCACCGGCTAGTTATCCACGATGGGGCAACATTTTCTTTGAAGATTCAGATCCCTGGTCTTTGTTCCTCCTTCGTGTACACTGTTAACGATGCGGCCATGTTTACACTGTAGCAGCAGCAAGAAAATGGATGTGGTCAAGCTTAAAATTCGTTCACCTGACCACAATAGTACCAACTAATAGCACACATGAGCAGAAGGAAGTATGACAAACCTAAAGATATGTTATGGTGAAAGTGGGAATAATTTTTGACTTAACCTCGTAGATTGTGTACATGATTCTCATTGGGTATCCCCACATTTGTTGAGATGATTATCTTGTTACTCACTTGTGTATCTTCAAGATGTAAGTGTTCATGGCTCTTTAGTTTGGATGAAACCAATGAATAGGATTTTCTGTATGAATGATTTGCTTTGTTGATTTTTGTGGGAGGGGTATTAACAATTTATAGGTTATTTAAAGCCAGAGGACACTTTGGATTGTCAAAAATGTCATGAGGATAAAAATAATGATTTCTACTATTTAACTCGTAGCTGGAGAAGAGGTAGTTTCTTACCATTTCCAAGGGTACTTGCACATATATAACGAACCCGACTTGAATTGGAATTCGGCTCTCAATTTCCAATCCTAGACAGTTATCCATTACACCACATGCACATCCAAGCTTACAGCACCTGGTATCCCCAAGCGCTCACCCATCTACTGACCAGGCTCGACGTTGCTTAACTTACGTGATCGGACGAGAACTTGTTTCAAATTGTTATGACCGTAAGCCTTTCAGAGTGAGATAGAAACGGATATTGCGAGACGACGAGAAAAAATCATTTCTTTTACGGAGAAGTAAGGTAATATATACTTAACATCAGGAAGAGGCAGTTTAAATTTCTAGGGAACATAATGTGGAAAGAGGGCTTGGAAAATCTGATACTCGCAAGACAGATTGAAGGCAAAAGGGAAAAGAGGAAAACAAAGCACAACATACTTAGTGAACTTGTGTAAATTATATGGCGGAGCAGGGTTTGGTAGCAACAACAAAATTACTTTATATTAAGAGCTACAAAGGATAGGAAATTTGTAGATAGTCATGAGCGCCTGTGTCTTAAGGAAACACGCCACAAAGAATGGGCATAAAAATTTACGATTTTGAAAATCCCGTCTCACGGAACGACTTTGTGTAAGCCTGTGCTATACACAAGGTTAGGTAGTATAGAATGTTTCAGGATTTTTTAAACCAAATGATCGGGCAAAAATCAAGGACCACAGATGATAGAGCAACGAAAATTAGGTTTATTGAAAGGTAAACGGATAACATTTTACGATCTGCAATCATTGAATCTAAAACATGAACCAAAAATGTCAAGAGAAGCCCTAGAGCAGGTGTCGGCAACGATGTGCCAACTTGGGGTTTTAAAATCATATAGTGTGCCAACAGCATACGTATTTTTATACAAGTCAAGGCCAATATACCCGTTCTACAATATACTTTATATAATATATAAAAATACTTTAGTATATATTAAAATTGAAACCGCTAAATATATTCCTTGCTTTTTAGTAGATTGTGACGTCATTTGCGGCTGTGTGCCATTGGAAATTGCTTGGCGTGCCACATGTGGCCGACTCCTGCCCTAAAGTACATTCTTCAGATGACCATCGTTCAGTTGAATGCGAAGTTGTTGACAACGCATGCATATTCCTCCTGGGTGATCGCTTGAACCTGCTCAGTAATGGCTGCCTTCAATGCAGCAATAGTGCGAGTGTTGCCCTGGTAGATATTATCCTTGAGAAACCTACAAAAGAAAGAATTCTGAGTGGGTTCATGTTAGGCTAGTGAGGCACCCATTCCACTTAGCTTTGCGGCTGATGAGACGCTCCCCAAGCTTTTTACGAGGCTATGCCATGCTAAAATTAGCAGTGTGAGGGGGAGTACTGGAACCACTGTTCCTCCTCATCAAGGTCCTCACGCTTGAGCTCTCCCCGTCTGTGAGGACGCTGTTTTGTTTCAACGATTGTGAAATACCCTGTACATTGCAGTTTGACACAGTTTTTCTCTGTTCCTAATGAAATTTTTATATCTCTTATTACTAGCTTTAATTTCTTCAGGTTAATTTTTGTATTTATCTTCTTGCACAGGTTAAGGTTGAAAGAAACTTCCCATTTAATAACTTTATTAATTATTGGTCGATTTTCATGAAACATGTTTTATTTTGAACAGTGTTCGAAGCATCCGTTTATCTCGAAAGATGAAAATGGTCCTGTTTGTTCAAAATTCAGTCCTTTAGTGGTGAGACTGGGGGTGACCTCTCCATGGCGCAGGCCTGAGCTATAGTATATGGAGGTCATGCGCTGCCCAGACTAAATGCCCCAACCTCTCTCGATCGTACCGACAAGATCCAAAGCAACACGGAGCATTACATTTGAGACAGCTTGATTGCAGGAGTTGCCAGAAAGTTGTCAGTGTTGACAACCAACCGCCTTGGTGATTGTAAGGAAGTATTTGTCGCAGATTACTTCCACAACACAAAGAAAAATCACTGTAAGTACAGACTCGTATATCGGGGGCAGAAAGAAATGCTGAAAACTCGATTCGCCTGTACTATCTCGAATCACAATGCGTGAAACCAGTCAGAAAAATAACTCACTCTCTAACAAACGCCGAAGCCAAAAATGCCCGAATTTTCCGCCCCCGAATCGAGAACATCAACTGCTTTTATCGGCAGAACCTATTTTTTCATTCGTCGACAGCTGGGATAGGATGCTCCGTAATTTGCATATCAAAATACTGTTATAGCGACTCCTGCGACGGACTTGTTTCTTTTTCCGTCACATCTTCTGTCTTTTTGAATCCCGCTCATCTTTTCTCCTTTCCGCAATCCCCCCGACCCCACTCGACGCCCAGTTTTTTCTGTCTCTTTCACTTTCTGTGATCCCCTGTGTACTAGTAGCATTCCTCCTTTCTTGGAGTCAAATGACTAAAAAAGAATTACTTAATTATCGTTGGTACAAGACGAAATGTTTAAATATCAGGGGGGGGGTCAATAAATGATGGAAAATGAGTTACCTAAATCCGAACGCAGATTAAAATAACAAAATATTTTTTTTCTAAACGCACTGTAAAGTATTAAAGTATGCACCAATCATTTTATGAATATCTATGCTACTAATACAACGGTGCACTTCTAAAACTCTAGATAGCCCGAGAACGGTAGCCGATTTCACCTCTGGCCTCGCTCTAACAACTCAGTGGAGTGGAAACTGGCTGGTTACACTCAATAGCTTGAAAACCAGTGGCATTCAATCATCGCCGTTCCAGTAAGTACCTGACACCTCACGCTATCGACGATCGTCTAGATTCGCAAGAGCCAGATCACTCTGAAATCTGAGTACTGTTGCCAGGGTAGGAACAGCCCAGTTTTCAGTCCAAAAGAGTTTCCACCCTACAGCCCCTTTTCTCACATACGAAAAGTTGTGAGCCTCTCGTACTTCTATGACTATTCCCAGGTGTTCAGGCAAACTACATTCCTTAATTCCACTAGTTCTAACCTTCACGGCTAAGACCCGACATACCCCGCACGTTGTATAAAACCACCCTCATTCCCTTTGTATTCCAATGGTTAGATGTAAGTTTCACTCGAGGAGATTCTTCCCACAAACCGCTGCTCTGTGGAACCGAATCCCAAGAAAAAGCTACCCCATCATTAGAGATCTTGTTGAAGTTACCGTTATCTTCCCCACACATCTCTTACTCTCCACCTCAAGTGGCTCTCCGGCCATATATAGGTTGAAAATCATTGTAAAACAAAAAAGTGCTGAAATATTATCTAATATCAATCCTCTTGTGTGGTAGTGAACGCTGGAAATTTTTCTCACAAACTAAAAAAATAGGAACGTAAAGAAATGTGGTTCTACAGTAGGATACTGAGAATTCCATGGATGGAGCACGTAAGGAACAAGTCTTGGAAGCAGAAAGAACACTTAGACTCAGAATCAGAGACTGCTGATATTTCTTGGGCACATAATGAGGGTAAGAGGGCTTGGAATATTTGACACACACAAGACTTATCGAGGGCAAAAAGTGAAGGGTAAGGCAGAGGGCTACCTATCTGATGAAGGTGCAAGAATGGATGACGGAACGGGGTAAGCGTGTGTTGGCAGAATGATAAAAGTTAGTAATGGTTACAAGAGATAGGAGGTCGGGGAGAGCTTTGATCGCCCATGACTTGAAAGGACAGGGCACGAAAATCTAAGATAGTAATTTAGAGGATGGAAATGGAATGATGACTTTTTGTTTTAAAAGTGCCAGCATAGTTACTTGTTAAATATCATTGTCCTAAGAAGAATGGACTGATCTCGCACGCGATTATCCTCTCATTAGAGAGTACTTGCTTCTGATAGTTTACATGTCCCACCTAACTGATCAAGCAATTCCCATGCCAATTCCCAACCAAACTCCTTTCATAAAAATAATTTAAATGGTTCAGCATTTTGCCAAATGTCAATTTGCGACAAAATTCTTGCGTATTATTGTAAATACGCGTATGGTAGCACAAAAAATCAAACGAAACAGAACCACAGGTAAGGTGAAAAAAAATAATTGCAAATATAAAATTCTTCTATTTTGCCGATACAACAGATGTGAGCGGAATATCCCTGTGAGACGAATGACGTAAAGTTGGTAAGGCCTGGAGTTGATGCGTTTGTTGGGTCGGTTGACCGAGGTCATGGTGGCGATATCGAGAAAAACCTGGACTGGATTAATGAAATTTGATATTCGCTGCGAATCTGGATTTTCCGATATAGAGGATGCGAGCAGAATGTCTCTATGTGTATGGTGCGGGTGTTTGGAGGAGTGTGGGTCTCTGGCACATATGTGTGCCGAGTCGGTTAACCGAGATCTCGGTGTGGACGTCAAGAACCTGTCGGGTGCCAACAGTTTTTATTAGGCGTGTATCTGTCTTATTCTGTTTCTATCGTTTAAAACAAATCTGGCTGCTCCTGAACTCAATTTTTTTTCTTTGGCGGCAGTGTTCGTAATTGACTTCTTTTCTAGTGTTGTAGATTTTGCGGGGATTTGTTTTGTAGGCTGAATGTGATGCGAGGAGCCCATACACAGAAAACGACTTTTTTTTTTATTTGGTTGTTGCTTTTTCTTAGCGTTCATATCCGGCCGACATATAGAGTGAACCAGAAAGAGATCCAATTTACAGCTGAGTATAACTATATCAAATGTATTATTTGCTGTGAAAATCTCTAGGTATCTTGTGTTAACATGTTAAATATGGAACCTGATAAAGACTGAATGGTAATATTCACTTTTTTAATAGTTCAATTCTTTTTGCTTCTACTACTGCTTGGATTTATTTTAGGATTTTTTTAAACGAAATGAATTTTTATTTAGCTATTTAATAGCACTATTGAAATATGTGTGTGCAGCGTAGTGGTTATTGGCACAGCGAGTGGGAGATGCGACAGAGTTCGCACAAATTCTCTTGAAAAAGAATGAATCCATCTCTCAACGCAGCTATGATTTTAAATACCAGCGTATACTCGGCTATGGGCAATTAGTTGACACCCAAACTTGTGTAAAAATAGGTTTTAATACCAGAGATACTTTGTAATAAAAAAAAAATATTACCAGAAATATTTTTGAAGGAAAAATTATTATCATCAATACTTTAAAAAAAAGTACCAGCAATATAAACAGCTATACATTCTTTGAAAAATATGACCAGCTATAGATTTCTTCAAGGAAAAATATTCCCAGAAATATAT